GGTCGCAGTTCTTCGCTCATGGTACCAATGCTTTCAACTTGGTTTTGATGTCCCTCTGCTCTTGCCGCTGACTTCTCCCGTCTCCTTGTTGCGGGTATCGAGGGTACTCTTCTGCGATGTTGTGCCACTGCGAGTATCTTCTGGGAGCTTTCCTTCCGGAAGTTTTTCGCTTTTTGAAGCCGTCATATTCTCACTTTCTTCGACAGCACATGCCATTGAGGCAGCTTTAGATTTTGGCGTGCTAGATTTCGTGATGTGACTTTTCGAGGTGAGTTCGCTGAAGGCGATCCTGTCTGAGGCTTTCTCTTCCAGAGCTTTCTCGTAGTAACCATCCTCGCTCTGATTTGAAAAGAATGCCGTCTTACTCAGCTCCGAATACGTCTGATTGTCAGTTGGTCTTGATGTGGTTACGTCCGATGCACACTTCTCTTCACAAGGCTTTCTCAGAGAAACACTTGAATACTCATTATTCGACGTGCTTCGAGTTGAATTTCTCTCATCGAAAATTTCCTCACTAACTTCTCGAGCAACATCTTGTTTGTGTACTCTAGCCGTCGAAGACTGCTCTTCTCTTGCCGATTTCTGATCGGGAACACTATGGCGCGGCGTCGCGTGTAGAACGCCTGGAAGCTCTTCACTTTTGACCACTGAATTTTTTGATGACTTTTCATCCGAAGAGACCTGTTCGTTTACAGTTTTGTCTAAAATCTTCTCAGCATAAGTGCTTTCTCTGGACTTCGACAACGATATGTTTTTGCTTACTTCTATGGCCTTCAGATGACCATCCTTTGCAGAGAGTTCTCCAGTGCTACCAGGCTGAGTACTGCTATCTCGACGGTCGTTGCGGATGTCTGGTACAGTAACCAAAGACTGTTCGGAAATGTTTACATCTGTTTCCCTCTCAGTAGGGCCCGCTTTGTTACCAGAAGACTTGTCGTGAAGGATTTCTTCAGTACAGTATTCTCCATTATCACCTAAACTGATGGGCTCAATCTTGACGGATTTTACGCTGAATGAGGTGGAATCAGACGCCGTTTCATCAAGGGTTTTTGCAGCACTGTCGTTCTGATGATCACGATTCATTGTTAGCTTAGCTTTCGCAATCTCTCACTGAAGCTCGTACTGTCTTCTGTCTTTTCGCCAAAGTTCCCCTCGGCACTGTCATCACGACGTTCTCCCTTCTTCGTGAGCTTAGCTTTGGCTGATCTTTCACTGAAGCTCGTACTGTCTTCTGCCTTTTCACCAATGGTCTTCTCCACACTGTCATCACGACGTTCCTTCTTCGTGAGCTTAGCTTTGGCTGATCTTTCACTGAAGCTCGTACTGTCTTCTGCCTTTTCACCAATGGTCTTCTCCACACTGTCATCACGACGTTCCCCTTCTTCGTGAGCTTAGCTTTGGCTGATCTTTCACTGAAGCTCGTACTGTCTTCTGCCTTTTCACCAATGGTCTTCTCCACACTGTCATCACGACGTTCTCCCTTCTTCGTGAGCTTAGCTTTGGCTGATCTCTCACTAAAGCTCGTACTGTCTTCTGCCTTTCCGCCAAAGGTCTTCTCCACACTGTCACCATGAGGTTCTTCTTTCTTCGTGAGCTTCGCTTTGGCTGATCTCTCACTAAAGCTCGTACTGTCTTCTGCCTTTTCACCAATGGTCTTCTCCACACTGTCATCACGAGGTTCTTCCTTCTTCGTGAGCTTCGCTTTGGCTGATCTCTCACTAAAGCTCATACTGTCTTCTGCCTTTTCGCCAATGGACTTCTCTAGACTGTCATCA